GATTTTTGGATTCGAGATGCCGGGAGGGGGCTGGGATGGGTGTGGGGGGGAGGGGGCGGATGGTGTGTGCGGGTTTTGCGCGCAGGGATTCGAAGCGGGGAAGGGGCGGTGGGGTGGATGCAATGAATGGCTACGTGGCGTAGATCCTTTGGCAGTTGCCTATGGAGAGGGGAGCGGATGATGGCTGGAAAGGAGGGGAGCAAGAAAAAGATAAAAGCAGGAAAGAAAATAAAAGCAAGGAAAGCAGGCAAAAAATCTCCCCATCAGTAAGGGACATCCCCACTTATAAAGCTGATGGTAAACTGATGCTAGGTCTCAACATTTTGGCGGGGGAAATTATTATCTCGGGAACTTTGAGAACTAGAAAACTGAACTTTTAAATTAATTTCCTCTGCCCACTGTGACCCCGTGATTTTAATTTCAGTCTCCCTCTGCGCCTATTTGCGCGTACGATCCCCTGAAGATTTTGGCAGGAAAATTATCTCGGGAACCGCGAAAATTGGGAATGTGGAACTTTAGGGTAATGTCCCTTACACAATGACCCTGGAAATTTAAATTCAACTTTCACACACACTAAGTCCATGCAAGTTTTCTTGGGAATCACGAGAGCTAAGGAACTGAAATTTTAGGGCAGTATCCTTGTACAAGTATGACCTTGCAAATTCAAATTCAGCTTCCAACGACGTCTGGATCTCAACGTCTCCGCGAAAGTTTTGTTGGGAGAAATTATTATCTCGGAGCCAGGAGAGCTAAGAAGTCGGAAATTTCAGGAAGATGTTTTCTGCCTATGCAGAGGCCTCACAAATTCAAATTTGATCCCCAGCTGTGCCGAAGTTTCATGTATGACCACTTAAAAGTTTTGACGCGAAACTCGCTCAGAAAGCAGGAAATTAAAAAGTTGAAATTTTGGAAGGATGATCGCCATCCAACGTTTCGAATTCAGCCTTCACGTGCCGGCACGTGAAATCTTTAGCGGGAAATCTCGCAAGTTAAGGACCAAATAGCATTCTAATTTTTTTTGAACAGAACAAAGGTCAAGGCAGTGAAAATCCTTAGCAGGTAAACGTTCAATGGACAGAATTACGGAGAACGCTTGATCGCACTGACTACCTTGGGGTAGTCGGTGCGAGGGTCAGGTTAGCTTTAATTTACTTGTCTTTATAGTGCTGTGTTGTTCCCTTCTCTTCACTGCTGTCACCAGTTCCTGCATTTGCACTCCTGAATTGTATCCTTGTTTCCCTTCTCTACGCTGTAACCAAAGAACTGGGAAGAGCCTGCAAAGTGTCTCTGAACTCCTCTCCATCCCGCATGCAAAGCAACTTCTGAGCTCCTCGTCACCCCTACTATAAGCGGGCTTTAAAAACAAACATTATTTCAGCTCCTTCTTGATTTTGGGGCAAAAACCAGCAAAATCCAGCACCCGCGTCCCTTCCTCCACCCGCCACCTTCTTCCCCTTCTATCTCCAAATCTACGTGACCTAATCAATCACAGTGGATCTATGCTAATAAATTCGCCTATCCTAGCCCTCCCCCCTGTCTCGAACCCTAGCGGACGAAGCCCGCAGCATACCCCCCCTCCTTCCTACCTGCAAAATCGAACATTCAGCCACCCACTGTGGGGCAACGCAACACCCCTCCTCTG